GCTGAATTTTGGAAAACAGTCTTTAAGACTTTCGGAAGACCCTCAGGCCAGCCTGGGGCGCGGTGGTACTCAACTCCACGGCAGTCTGCATTTGGTTCCTGGGCTGCCCACACACAGGAGGCAATCATGCCCATGATCCCGTCGGCCCGGGGTGGGGGAGGTCACAGCAGGAGGCCCTTCAGAGGGTGCTTGTCTCTCTCTCCAATGAGAGAAATAAACGGACAAACTTAAGGAGAAAAAAAAAAAAAGAAACAGAAGGAGGGGGTGACCTGGCGTACCCGGGATCTGAAGGGCGCGGCGTTACACAACCTTGGTGGGAAGTCAGACACGTAAACCTGACATCTTCCCTATTGCTCAGAAGAAGCCTAAACAGTCTAGAATTTTTTGTGTCTTGTGGGACTTCGGCTATTTTGTGTCTCTACTGAAAAGTGCCCTGGATAGCTAAGCCCCAGCATGCGTAGAAGATACCTTTCAGAGCAGTCGCAGCTCTGTGGACGTTTTGATGCCTGAGTGTTTGCGTGTGACAGGGAACTCTGAATCCTTATTTCTAGCTGCACTTGTGTCAGTGATTTCAGATGATCTGAATATGTCTACACTGCAAGGACCCTGCCCTCCTCAGCCTTCCGCTCTGCACTGGCCTGAAAGCGCACCTGGGCTTCGCAGAGAGGAAAGCGATGCGGTTGAACGAGCCGTACACGTCTGGGGCTGGGCAGAGGGCTACGAGGGTACAGGAGTGTGCTCTGCTCCATTTGCGAAAAGGGGTCAGGGAGGTTGGAGCTCGGAGGTCAAAACCGAGAGCTGAATCCAGGTGGGGAGGCGGGGGCTGGAGTGTGGGGTGTGGCTAGTGGGGGAGGGAGGACCTGGGGGCATGTCCAGGGAGGATGTCCACCAGCTGGCCCCTGCCCTGAGCTCCGTGGGCCGGGGGGCAGTGCCAGCGCTGCTGGAGGTCTTGGCCACCGGAGCCTGTCTTCTGATGGGGACAGGAGCTGAAGTGACAGGTGGGGCCTCGGCATTTGGAATCCAGCCTGCATTTGGCTGGAAGGCTCCGGATGTGCCTGGGTCTGCACCGGAGCCCCGGCAAGCCCGCACGCCAGGTGGGGAGCTGGGTGGCGCCAGCACTTGCGGTCGACTTCCTCATGGCCCTGGAGGTGGGAGTGTGAGAGCCAGTGGCCTGGTTTCCCCCAAGCGGCCGTCCTTGGCTCACGGACGTCACCCCACCCCCTGCCCCCACGTGGCCGCCCTGTGTTCTGCCCTAACTTCTTATGGGGACACCTGCCACAGTGGATTAGGGCGGCCCGGTGACCTTGTGTGACCTTGGCCACCTCTCTAATGGCCAATAGCATCACATTCTGAGGTCCTGGGGTCGGGACTTGGGACCTGAACAACCACCGCGTTACTACGTGACTCCAGGTTAGGGTTATGGAACCGGAAGGGGGGGATCTGGACAGCATGGAGCCCAGTCTTGGTCTTGTTAACAGGAGGTGGAGACCACAGAAGGGAAGGGGCTGCTCTCCTGCCGAAGGCCATGGGTGAGTGCCTCCAGAACCGGGGCTCTGGGGCCCTTCAACAGCCCCCTGGGGGGTGGAGGTGACCGAGGCTGGGAAGGGGTGTCATTGGTGCACTCCGGCGCGGGGAATTGTTAAATGCAGTACCGAGTTCTTAAGTCTTGGGGGCGAGGGTTGGGGCTGAGATTCTGCTTCCGGTGAGCTCCCAGGAGCCTCTGCTGCTGCTGTTGCTGTGGCAACGGTCCTTGAGGTCCGGCAGTGGTGGCTCTGGACGAGCATTCACCTGGTGTTTGTTAGAGATGCCGCTTCGCTGGCCCCACCCCAGATGCCGCACCAGGAGCTCAGGTAGCAGGGCCCGGCGATGGGGTCTAGTCCCCCGGGTGATTAGGAATCGAGCTTTATTTCTACACTCTGGAGACATTTTCCTTCACGCTGTTCTGTCTCGGAGCCTCCTGATGGGGTGGTTAAGAATTGAGAACTTTTGTAGGATTCTCTGAATCTATGGGATTCGTGTGTGTTTGAGGAGAATGAAACAGCTGTATTTTTCTTTACCTCCTCCAGAAAGAAGCCAAATAAAGCCATGAGCCTGATCAGTGACACAGACGACAGGGGACTCTGGAAGACTCAGGGTCCCGGGCCTGTCAGCGTGTGGGCTCATCCCAGAATGTCCGCGACCCCTGCCGGCTGCAGGCCTAGGTGGAGGTGCCTGTCCCTCTCTCCAGAACTGCGCAGATGAACTTCCAAAAGCACTCTGGTCATATTGCTGACTAGGTTTGAGATCTGCAGTTCCTGACGGCCTCAGAATCATCCAGCTTGAAATCAATTGTTGCAAAATGCTCCATTTATAGTCGACTGTCCAGTTAGCATTCGATCAATAGTGAGAACTTCTCTTTCTTCCTCCTGCATTCCTCACACTCCCAGCCGGGTCTTCTGGACTGAGATAACACCTGCTCTTAGCAGAGTGTCATCAAGCGGGTTCTATTACGTCCCGACACGTTCGCTCTGCGTGTCTGTGAAGCTCTGGGCTCGCCTGTAGGACTCGTTCCCGTCCACACGGACTATGAATAGCCTGCCTTTCGCGTTATGTTTGTCCCTTACTGCCCTGAGTACCCTCCCATTCCCGACTGGCAGGCTGGGACCAGCCACGCAAGAGGGCTGCCTGCTGTTGAGGCTCAGCGCAGTGGAGTCGGCCGACATCAGAGCAGTAAGACTGGGCAGGCCCCATGGCCTCGTGGTTAGGGAATCAGACCCCACATGGCCAAATGCATGGTTCGAAGCCCAGACTAGACAGCTGGGGTGAGAAACACGGCAGGCATGTGTGTGTGTGTGTGCACTCCAACGCTGAGATGTTGGAGGGGCAGCACGACCACGGCCCCCTGGGGTGCTTCTCCTCCTCCCGCTCCCTCTGTCTCTCTGGTGAGCACGTGTGCCCTGTGCCCTCTGGGGAAAAAAAGGAGAAAAAGAAAAGGTTTGCTAAGCCTCAGTGTTGGTGAGATAATAGGAAAACAGCCACCGCGCATCACCATTGGTCAGTGTGGCACAGCCTCTTTGAAAAGCAGTTCGGCGACGTCACCAAGTGCACGGACTGCCCGTGTGCCTCCTGTGTCGGGCGGTGACGTCACCGAGTGCACGGACTGCCCGTGTGCCCCCTGTGTCAGGCGGTGAAGTCACCGAGTGCACGGATTGCCATGTGCCCCCTGTGTCGGGCGGTGAGGTCACCGAGTACACGGACTGCCATGTGCCCCCTGTGTCGGGCGGGGAAGTCACCGAGTGCACGGATTGCCATGTGCCCCCTGTGTCGGGCGGGGAAGTCACCGAGTGCACGGATTGCCATGTGCCCCCTGTGTCGGGCGGGGAAGTCACCGAGTGCACGGATTGCCATGTGCCCCCTGTGTCGGGCGGGGAAGTCACCGAGTGCACGGATTGCCATGTGCCCCCTGTGTCGGGCGGGGAAGTCACCGAGTGCACGGATTGCCATGTGCCCCCTGTGTCGGGCGGGGAAGTCACCGAGTGCACGGATTGCCATGTGCCCCCTGTGTCGGGCGGGGAAGTCACCGAGTGCACGGATTGCCATGTGCCCCCTGTGTCGGGCGGGGAAGTCACCGAGTGCACGGACTGCCATGTGCCCCCTGTGTCGGGCGGTGAAGTCACCGAGTGCACGGACTGCCCATGTGCCCCCTGTGTCGGGCGGTGAGGTCACCGAGTGCACGGTGCCCCCTGTGTTGGGCGGTGACAGTTCTTGGTGAAGCTCTCATGCTGGCTCTGCAATGCTGGCTCTGGGAGCTCACCCTGCAGAAGCGCCCATGTGGCACAGAGAGACTGTGGAGTAGACGGTCATGTTTGCTGTTGGCAAAACCAGAAAGCCCGGGCAGCGCCCACGGCTCACCACCAGTGAGTGGGTCGCTGTCTTGCTGACTGACTAGTGCTACGTGGTACTGGGAGGCTGAGATGCTGGCGGGGTGTCAGGATGTCACCTTCCCAGCTACTCAGAGAAGTGAACTTTCTTCCACGGCAGGTCGGGGCTCCCTAAGAGAAGACTGGTGCTTCCTGGGCTCTCACCACACGGCCTTGGACGGCACAGCCGCGGCTTTCTCCGGCAGGGCTGAAGCAGGCGAGGGCGTGAGCCACCTTGCTGAGGTGGAAGTGCTGAGATTCCGGCCAGGTTTATGACCAACCGCTGCTGGGACCTCTAGGGAGGGGCCGGGGCGGGGGGAGATTTGCTTTTCATTTACGCTGCTCTGTCTCACCAGGTTATCAGGAAAGTCATGGGATCTTCCTATGCACAAATGCGTCAGGACTCCCCGACACCCACTGTGTGATTTAAGACTGCCTGCATTGCTATTGAAATGAGGGAAGCAAAAGAAGAACAGAACTGAAGGAGGGAGGGGGCCGTTGGCAGGAACGTGAGGCGGAGGGAGAGATCGGGAGAGGAAGAAAGGCAGGTGGACCTGAGCGTGGGGCAGAGACGGCGCAGCCCTGGCGAGCGGGCACACGCCCGCCGTTGGCGTCCCTTGGCAAGAGCAACTGTCCTGTAAGGAGTGACACTGTGTCCCGCGTGGTCTCCTCCGGCCCTCCCAGCGCAGCGGCGCCCCCTCGTCTGTGAGGAGCCCTGTAGACCGCGCGTCCTAGTCTGACTCGATCGGAGGATAGTCCAAACCCTCCCTGAACGGTCTCTAAAGGCTGGCATTGTGGCTTGTGAATCTTGTGCTCAGCGGTGTGAAACACCGGAGTTCATAGCAGGTAGTGGGTCGTCCATACGTGCTCCTTTGAAAGATCCCGTCTTTGACAAACACGCACTGTTTCCTGCGCTTTTCGTAACACCCTCAAATACACATGTCCACTGTCATAGCGACCCTGCGAGGTGGGACTGTCATCACCCTCCCCACAGAAGGCACAACCAGTGCCTCCCCCGGGAGGTCGCAGCCTCATCAGCGGGGGCTTGGCTCTCGTCCTCTGACCCCCGTGCTGTCCTCATCCGTGTATAACTCAGCACTTCCCTGGGCGTCCCCGCTTGTGAGCCAAGCAGGGTGTCACTATCTACTATGGACCATCAGTCACCCAACCGAATCGAACCCCGCGTTCAAAGCCCTGCCTGGCTGGACGCGCTGTCACCGAGCAGGTGGTCTTGGCTAGGCAGGTTAGAGCTTTTCTGTCTCTTCATCGACTTCAGCCTGGACTGCACAGGGCCCCTCGGGAAGGACGGGAAGCTCTCAGAGTCAGGACCAATGGCCCAGGTGGCCTGAATGAGAGGATGCTGGGAGAGGACGGAGGAGTCCCTAAAAGGATGACGGGCCCAGAAAGGCCGAGGTGTCGGTGGGAGAGCACCTGGAACGCACACGTGGCTCGCTCGCAGCTGGAGCTGAGTCAAGGCCAACCTGTGCTCCCGACGCAGAGCTTCTGAACACGGAGGAAGGACTCATGCCACGGGAGCAGGGCCTGGGGAGCCACTGCTGTGCACAGGCTGCTGAGCGGGAGTGTGGCGGTGGTGGCAGGGGTCTCACGGAGACTAATCTCACGGCTGTGGAAGTGGGTTTCGTTTCGAGGCCGGGATCACACGTGTCAGGAGACATGGCAAGGCAGACATGGACGCGCTTGCCCTGAGCTCTCAGCCCCACTCCCCTCGAGGCCCGCTGTCGGGGAGCGGAGGCGTGCGTCCCTGGGCCCTCGGCTGCTGCGTTGTATCATCTCAACAACTCGGCGCTAACTCCTAGCAGTCAACGTTTATGGCCTTCCAGGATCTCATAAATGTCACGTCAGGCTGCCTCTCGGGGAATTTTTAATCAAGAGGGAGAATTTCAGCTACGAGTAGAGCAAGAATCCAGAGGCCCACTGTTGGTCGGTCCAAGTGGCACTGACGAACCCGAGGGGAGGCGGTTTGAATAAAGGGTGCTGGCCGTCGACGGCCCCGAGACGTGTCTCTCTGTCGAGGCCAGGTGAGGAGCAGACGATCCCCTGAGTTTCTGAACGGCGACACACAGCACGAGACTACAGGGCCCCTTCTCATCTCCGTGACCAAGCAAAGGCAGGCCCGACGCTGGCCCGGGCGCGGGCCGCTCAGCCCGAAGGCCGCTGCTCTGCTCTCGCCCAAGGGGCTGCGGCA